GGTAGGAGGAGGCGGAGGAGGAGGACCAGTGTAAACCCAAGGCGCATCAACTATGTTGCAATCGACCCACCCTCTAAGCTCCCTCTGCACAGGTTTCTACCCGCAATTTTTTCATGGCGGTCAGTGCCCCGTTGGAAGACAACCGTTTGATAATCCTGGATCGTGCCGACATGCAAGTCCTGGGATTCCGACGCCCCCAGTGAATTCGACTCTTGTGTACTGACGCTCCGAAATCGTACCAGAATGGCATTCCTTGGATTTCGACGCTGCGAATATACGTGACCGGTGCGTCCTGACAATCCCAAACCGAGTCAGAAAACAGTTCCTGATAATGCCACCATTCGAATTCCTGCGCTGTTTAAAATCGAGTGCGTGCGGCGCTCAAGCGAGGGCCTCTTTTTGAGAGCGACCCGCCCTCCATGGCTGAAGCAGTTGTGAACTGTTAGGGCGAATGTGCGCGGCTCCCAGGCCAGAATCACACTCCAAAAACCAGCTGCTTTGCATCGTTGACGCTGTTGCAGACTTTCGGGGCGAATGTGCGCGGCGGTGCGGCGAGAGGCACTTGTTAAATACGACCCGCCCTCATCTTGGAGCTGCTGCGAAGTCTCAAGACGAATGTGCGCGGCGCTCAGGCGTGGGACACTTGTTGCAAATGACCCGCCCTCAATCCTTCAAGCGCCTGCAAACTTTTCAGACGAATGTGCGTGGCGCTGAGGTGAACGCCACAATTCTAAAACGACCTGCCCTCCATCTTTCAAGCTGATGCACATGCATAGCTTCAATATCATAACTGGTAAAGGTCATGCGAAACGCCCGGTTCGCCCTACCGACACGTCTGCGGCGGCGATCGGGAAAATTGTGATTTCATGAAAATGGATGGAGGAGGAGGAGGAGGAAAAGGAGGAGGAGGAGGAAGAGGAGGAGGAGGAGGAGGAGGAGAAGAAGGGGGAGGAGGAGGAGGAGGAGGAGGAGGAGGGAGAGGGAGGAGGAGGAGGAGGAGGAGGAGGAGCAGAGAGGGGGAGGAGGAGGAGGAAGAAGAGGAGGAGGAGGAGAGGAGGAGGAGGAGGAAAAGGAGCAGCAGGAGGAGGAGGAAGAGGAGGAAGAGAAGGAGGAGGAGGAGGAGAGCAGGGCTGGGGAGGGGGAGGAGGAGGAGGAGGAGGAGGAGGAGAGGAAGAGGAGGAGGAGCAGCAGGAGGAGGAGGAGGAAGAGGAGGAAGAGAAGGAGGAGGAGGAGAAGCAGCAGGCTGGGGAGGGGGAGGAGGAGGAGGAGGAGGAGGAGGAGGAGGAGTAGTAAGTAAGAGGAGGAGGAGAAGGTGGAGGAGGAGGAGGAGGAGGATGCACATGTACGGCTTCAATATCATAAGTGGTGACGAAGTTTCATGCGAAACGCCCCGTTTGCCTTACCGACACGTCTGGGGCGGCGATCGGGGAAATAGTGACGTCATGGCAACGGATGGAGGAGGAGGCGGCGGAGGAGGAGGAGGAGGGGGACGGGGAGGAGGAGGAGGAGGTGGAGGAGGAGGAGGAGGAGGAGGAGGGGGACGGGGAGGAGGAGGAGGAGGAGGAGGAGGAGGAGGAGGAGGAGGAGGAGGAGGAGGAGGAGGAAGAAGAAACATATGGATCAGACAAATACGAAGCTGTATACGAACAGTAAGAACATATTAATAATAATGTTAATAATAATATTGATAATACTAATCAAGTTAAGCAATATTAATACGCATACTACTAATACTGATAATAATACTAGTAGCACTAATAAACAACAGACTAATAAAAATAATGCTACTGATAATACGACGAATAACAATAATACTGATAATAATGAGACGGATAAGAAGATTAATAGCCGGAATAAACAGAATACTAATACGATTGCCGATAACAATAAGGACATGAATACTACTATTATTAATAATAACACGAGTAAGACGAATACTCGCACTAAGCATGATGCTACTAACACACATAATCATATTTCTATGAATTCTACTACTAATACTCATAAGAATAATGATGACAGTACTGATACTAGTATTAATACTCATAAGAGTACAACTAATGATAACATTAATCATCGTCGCAATAATACTAATACTACCAATGATACTAATACTAACGCTACTACTACTAATAATAATAATGCGATTGCTAGTATTAATAATACGATTAATAACTATAATACGAATGAGAGGCGGAGGAGGCGCAGGAGGAAGAAGAGGAGGAGGAGGAGGAGGAGGAGGAGGAGGAGGAGGAGGGAGGAGGAGGAGAGGAGGAGCAGGAGGAGGAGGAGAGGAGGAGGAGCAGGAGGAGGAGGAGGAAAAGGGGAGGAGGAGGAGAAGGAGGAGAAGAAGGAGGAGGAGGAGGAGAGGAGGAGGAAAGGAAGGAGGAGGGAGGAGGAGGAGGAGGAGGAGGAGGAGGAGGAGGAGGAGGAGGAGGATGGTGGAGCGGAGGAGGAGGAGGAGGAAAAAAGGAAGAGGAGGAAAAGGAGGAGGAGGAGGAGGGGGATGAGTTGGAGGAGGAGTTGGAGGAGGAGGAGGAGGAGGAGGCGGAGGAGGAGGAGGGGGAGGAGGAGAGAGTAGGGAGGAGGAGGAAGGAGGAGGAGGAGAAGGAGGAGGAGGAGGAAGGAGAAGGAGGCTTCGGGGGTCGCCGTGGGCCGCAGCGCGAGCGCCACCCGCTGCCGGGCAACCTGGTTTGATACACACCCCTTTGGGGCAACAGCCTCCGTGGGGTGGTGGGGGGATGGCTGCGTCTGAAGACCCACAAACCGTCTGGAACGAGGCGCCAGGACAGCGATGCAACATAACGGGCTCCACTGCGCCGACGTTCGCGCGCAAGCTGCTCGCGTACGGTCGCGCGTAAGCGCCCTCGTCTCCATTGTGGCTTGCCGCGCTGGCGGCCCGCGTAAGGTGCGGCGTAAGGTCGCCGTGCCATCTCGCGTAAGACCCGTTTTTGATCGTCGATCACGAGGAGGAGAAGGAGGAGGAGGAGGAGGAGGAGGAGGAGGAGGAGGAGGAAAACCAGGAGGAGCAGGAGTAGGACGAGGAGGAGCAGCAGGAGGAGGAGCAGGAGCAGGAGGAGGAGGAGGAGGAGGCGGAGGTCGAGGAGGAGGAGGAGGAGGAGGAGGAGAAGAGGAGGAGAGGAGGAGGAGGAGGAGGAGGAGGAGGAGGAGAGGAGGAGGAGGGGGGAGGAGGAGGAGAGGAGGGGAGGAGGAGGAGGAGGAGGAGGAGGAGAGGAGATGGAGAGGAGGACGAGGAGGACGAGGAGGACGATAATGAGGAGGAGGAGGGAGGAGATGGAGGAGGAGGAGGAGGAGGACGAGGAGGAGGAGGAGGAGCAGAGGGAGGAGGAGGCGGAGGAGGAGGAGAGGAGGAGGAGGAGGAGGAGGAGGAGGAGAGGAGTGAGGAGGGAGGAGGAGGAGGAGGAGGAGGAAGAGGAGGAGGAGGAGGAGGAGGAGGAGGAGGAGGAGGAGGAGGAAGAGGAGGAGGGCGGCTAGCCAGCCCGCAGACCTAGCAGCGCGATCGTGTTCTCGCTGGATGTCCCGGCGAGGCGGCGGGGATGCCCGGACTCGGGGCGGGCAAACCGAGTCGGCTACATGCAGAGGAGGGCGAGTGGAGACAACGGTAGATGACCCTCAGGGGGGCTCCTCGTCGCCACGGCTGGACGCAGCTCGGGAAACTCGTGCGTCTGGACCCCCGGGGAGTGTGCCGGGGACCGATTTTCTGAGCTCTCAGCTCGCCCTCCTCCGATGCACGTGCCCAGATCTGCGGCGATATGTTTTTTTGTCAATCCGGGTGTTTTTCCCAGACGTCGGCGTCGGGGATCCGTCATTAGGGCCCCGGGACCAGAACTGGGACTTCGACGGGCAGTCTCCTGCTGTGCAGGCACTGGCAGGATTCGAGGGGCCCCGTGATTTTTCGAGTGGCCTGTCGCACACAGTCTCGTCCTCGGCACCGCCTGATTCCGGGGCGTTGCCCCCTCCCCGGCCTTGATGTGAGGCCCCTCCTTCTGCCCCCCTCTCTTTCATTCAAGCCGTGCACGGCCCGCCTCGCGTCGACCGGAAGAGGTGCGCTCTCGACCCGCGGATCAAAAAAAAGTCGCACACAGCCGTCGGGAAGCCATGAGGAGCGATGCCGACGACTAAGGAGCGAAGAAGGGGCCTTCCTGGCCGCGGTGAGTCTCGGCCACGACGCAGGTGCCCCGACCTGCGCGCAAGGGAGCGGCCGGGGAGCTGGAGCCCCTGCCGAGGCCAAGGCGGGTCCTAGTTTCGGCGGCCTCGCTGCAGGTGGGCCATGGGGGACTGCCCGTCTTTTCCTCCTTGCTTGGCATCGCTCGGACGTGTGCATTTTTTCTCCGGCGGGGATTATTAAGGAGCAGCCTTGATCATTTGGCGAAAAAGCCACGCACGAAACCGAAAAAAAAACACAGGGAATGGACGTCCGAGCGATGGGGAGCTTGGGCTCCTGTCCAAGGTGTGCCTTTTCCTGCACGTCCCGTTCGGCACCGCCTGATCCCTGGGCTTCGCCCGCCCCTGGCCGCGTGAGGCCCCGCCTTCTCCCGCCCTCTCTTCTCTGCCAATGAAAGCTGGGCGCGTCCCGCGTAGCTTTCAGCGGAAGAGGTTCGCTCTCGCCCTGCCGATAAAAAAAATAAAAAGTCTTTCCCCCCCTTCCTACCCCCCCTCGCCGTTTTCGACCGAGGCCGGGGCTCGTGTTCACGTCGCCTCCACGGGCTGGGGCCCTGAGTGCCTGGCCCCCTCCAGATGGGCGCGGCATTTCCGGCCCTGGGGCCAGATGGGCGCTCGTTTGCACGCTCGCTCCCCTTTCCCGCTCCTCCTTCAAAGGGGTTCAGTGTATACACCACGTCGTCTGGTCGGCCAGGGAGCCGAGGACTTCAGCCGAGGTTGGGAAGCCAGGGCGTCTACACACCGAGCTCCTTGGCCGACCATGCGACTCGGTGTACACTTCGATCCCCTCCCATTTTTCTCCCCCGCCCCCGGGGGAGGGAATCTCATCATCGCTTGTGGTTTGGGCTGCCCATAGGCGTAGACCCAGTTGACGCGTGCGCCCTCAGAGCGTGCGGCATTGAACTGTTGGCAGCATTGTGGCGTGCCGAGTTGGCAACGTGGCACTTTAACAGCCCTTTGAACGTGCAGTCTCAGGGGGGGAGCGAAAGACGATGAGGATGACTGGTGTGCCGAGGTTGCAGCGTGGCGCTTTATAAAAGCACTTTAACGCGCAACACCAGTTTGCGCCAACCACTTGACAGAAGTGACAGAAGTTCTTGGCATCGTACGTGATGCAACCTTTCGGTGCGGGCACGGTGGCAGGTATTGTCTCTTGAAGTGCCACACATTGCGCTACTTGACAGCAGAGCACCCTTTGAAGCAGGTTGCAGCGTGTGATGATATTGTCTCTTGAAGCGCCATCAGCTTCGCTAGGTGGCAGAGCGCGTTTTGGAACGCGCCCCACTTTCAGCGCGTCAGTGCCAGATAGCAGCGAACCCATTGCCTCGTGCAATGTTTTCTCTTGTACCGCAAGAGTCTGGAAATGCCGACTCCCACCTTGGATCCGGAAGACCTGCAGGCAGACGAATTCGGGCGTGTCGTAATGGGGGGGCATCAGCGGGGGGAGGTGGGGAGAAACGTTCACCTTTCGCGCCCCTCCGGGGCCCCAGGGGGCCCGTTTCGGGCCCCTTCGGGCCACTTTCCTGCAACCCGCGGCCCCCCCCCCCCCTTTCATCGCCCGGCCACGACGACACGCCCGACGCGTGCACCGAACGTGGTACACCCATGTTGGTTGATGCTCGTGCCCCCGGGAAGGCACCGAGCCGTTGGCAGCGCTGGCAGCGTGCCGAGTTGGCACCGTGGCGCCCCGAAGCACCCCGGCGTGCGGCCACGGCCCGCGCCAACCGTCGGCGGCTCGCAGCAGGGGGCGGGTGGGCGCGCAGGATCATCATCAGCCCCTGCCCCTACTCATTCCTCAGTCAGGCCCATCGTCTAAAGTATTGGTTGTGTTTTGTACTCTCTGTACTCCTCTTCCTCCTCCTCCTCCTCCTCCTCCTCCTCCTCCTCCTCGCCACCACCACCATGGTCATCATCAGCAGATACAACACCAGGGGGGTGGCCTTCCGAGAAGGGCACGGGGCCTGTCGGAAGCCCCCCCCCCCCCGCAGACATCATCGCGTCTCAGAGGAGGAAAGGGTACCCACGCCGCTGCCCTTGCCTCGTTCTCGTCTTTTTGGGCCTCCTGAGCGGCCATCGTCCGCTGGATTGGCCTCGAAATTCTTGTCAGAACGCACCCCGAGAGTGGTCTGGGGAGTAGCGGTAGCGGCACCTTTTGGTTTCCCCCAGCGTCGTGGCACACATGCAGCACTGTATGTACGCGCCGTTTGTCCCGGCGCGCGGCCTTGCGCCTTGGGGAGGGTGCCTTGTCCACCAGGGCAAACTCCGCCTCGGGCGCGACGTTGGCCGTGAGTTTGCCGCGGCGCCAGCTTCGTCGATTTCGGCCCGTTCAGAACAGGTGGCGCGGCGACATCTGTTTCCGGTGACACAAATGTTGTAAAACAAACACCTCAGGTTTGGGGCCATTTTCGGCCCCCGGGGTCCCTCGCCGATGCCCCAGGACAGTGAACAGAAACGACCCAGGAGGAACGCGCTGTGAGCAGAACCCCGACGCGGGGGGCCGGGGCCTGCCTTCTACAGAAGCCTCCTCAGAGGTCTCCGAGCTCCCCTGCCCTCTTAAGATCTCCGGCGGGTGGTAGTGGGGGGTGACCTAAATCGAGGAGATGGCGATGGGGGGATCAGGACATGGGGGGATGAGTATCCGGTACCGCTTTGCTGGGGTACAATTTGTACCTTCTCTGCGGGTTGCAAGTACAAATTGTGCCTTCTCCCCCCCGTTAACATCCTCGCACATGTCGCGGACGTTATCAAAAGTACAATTTGTACCTTGTCTGCGTGGCGTCGGTACAAATTGTACCTTCTCCGTGGGGCGTAGGTACAATTTGTACCTCGGTTGCGCCTCTCTCCCCCCTGGACTTATCCCCCCATTTACACCCAGCCAACTAAATTGGGGATGAAGAAAATTGCCCGAAAGGGGCCCTCTGCTTCACCCCGCATGTAGGCCACCCCTCATTACCCCACCCGCCCGGGGATCGAAGACGGAACAGCATACGCATGGACGCTCGGAAGTCCGATCCGATGTCTCGGATCTGCGCTGGGACCCCCCCCCCTGGCGGCGCTTCCGGCGCCACCCGCGGCGCCCTCCGCGCGCCAAAAAAGCTCGGCCGCGCGCAGAGGGGGGTATCTGGCGCCGGTCCACAAAAATTTTCGGCCACGCGCAGAGGAGGACAGGGGGGAGGGGGCAAGGCTTCTTAGAAGCACCCCTGCTTCTTAGAAGGCGCGGGCCTTGTCTATAGATGCAGGGACGGCGCCTTCTAAGAAGCAGCCTCCTCCTAAGAAGCCTTCCCCCCCACGAGCCCCCACATGGCGCGCCGCCAAAAAATCAGCGTGGACTTCCGAAAACCGTTTTTTGTATATTTGTTCCTTCTTCAGTGGATGCCCATGCCAAGAGACACCCTGCTTGCCTCCAGGGTGCCCTGGGCTTCTTGTATTTCGATAGGTTTGCTGCGGAAAACGCGACGTTCCCACACTAAAAATCCATGGACGCCCTGGGGTCTCAGGGTTGGGCTTCTTGTGGAAGGCTTCTCGTGGGCTGGCCTCCACTGGTGCAGCAGACGCAGCAGGCAAGACCCGGCCTGCCGGCAGGTGCCCCGTGGCAGCTTCGCCTCCCTCGGGTGGCCCCGGGGACCTACCGGTTTTCCTCGGGTGGCCCTCGGGAGGTCTTTAGAAATCGTATGTATTCTGGCGCGCGCGCGGGAGACGCAGTTTCTCGTAGTCTACGACCATGTATGATACAAATCCCATGTAATAGAAATCCCATGTCATAAAAACCTCCCTGTAGGACCCTCAAGGGTCGACGATGAGTGTACCCCAGGATTTCTCAGAGCAGCAGGATTTCTTATCGTGTGCGCCTACTGTACCCATCGGTCGTTGACATAGGGTATTGTTGTATGCCCATGCTCTAATCTGCCGTAAGCGCCTTCCTACTTCAATGATCGAGTGGGTTCACCCTTTCCGTCCTCCTTGGGGGGCGGACGGAGCCCAATCTGCTTTCAACGCCTTCCTACTTCATGTTCCCACCGACTTCTTCCGACCGATGGGTAACCGGCTACCCACGATAATAATATACTCACATAAGAGTTGATTATCCACGGCCAATAAGAGTTCGGTCGGGGGCGCGGGGGCGCGGAGGCCGAACTTCATCATCACCAGAAAAGTTCGCCATCGAGGTTATTTCCTTCTTATGTTGAGATAGCAGCATGAAGCGAAGCGAACACGCATCTACTGCACCCTCCTCCCCCTCCCCAGACATGCGACGCTTTGTGCTTTTGTTCGAGACTGGGCCCCCGGCAGCCCCGACCCCCCCCCCCCCGGAGCCGGTCTTGCCTGCCGAGTCGTTGTTCGACGGCCCCAGGGCCCTGCGGGGCCCCCCCGGAGGCCGCACACGGCGGCCACGGCCCTCCCGTCGTGATGCTTGGCATCGCTCGGACGTGTGCACTTTTCCTGCGGCGAGGACCATCGAGGAGCATCCTTGATCATCTGGCGAAAAAACCACGCACGACGCCGAACAAAAACACGGGGAATGGACGTCCGAGCGATGGCCAGGAGGTGCGTGCTCTCGGCGCGAGCACGCCCCTGGGGGGGCTAATGCTCGCCCGACGTGCCCTGCTGCGTGCCGCCAGCGGCCACTCGACGGCGCATCTTGGCATCGTGCAGAGATGCAATCAACATCTCTTGGTGTGCGGGCTGGCTCTGGAGGAGCGGCGGCGGCGGCCTCCGCGGCTTTTCGCGGCCCGGGGGCCGGCGCGAGATTGAATACCCCGAATATTCTCGCCCCGTGCGGCGCGGGCATACATACCAGGAGGCTGGATGCGCATGACGCGGGGTCCATCTCGATCCCATCGATCCGCTCCGATGTCGATTCTGGCCAGCTCGCTCCGATGCCGTCTCGCTATGCTGGCGGTCCGATGCGGCCCGTTGCCTGCGAGGCGTTGTTGTGCATCCTGGCGCGGCCGAATCAATTCGACTTCGACTCCGTGCCGATGCAGCCCGATCCGACGCACGTTACGAGTCGATCCGATTTCCCGATTCGATGCTGACTGATCCTGAAGACGTGCCCAGCCTGGGGCAGGAGCTGGATACTCACGGGTGCCAGCCGAGACATCGGGCCGCCTTCGCCGCGCTGGGCATAATGTGGCCAGCGCTTTCGGGGAAGGAGGGCGAGGAGTGAGGAGTGGGGGGGAGTGGGGGAGGAGGAGGAGGTGGAGGAGGAGGAGGAGGAGGAGGTGGAGGAGGTGAAGGTGGAGGTGGAGAGGTGGAGGTGGAGGTGGAGGTGGAGAAGGAGAAGTAAAAGGAGGAGAGGAGGAGGAGGAGGAGGAGGAGGAGGAGGAGGAGGAGGAGGGAGGAGGAGGAGAGGAGGAGGAGGAAGGAGGAGGAGGAGAGGAGGAGGAGGAGGAGGAGGAGGAGGAGGAGGAGGAGGGGGAGGAGGGGGAGGGGGGGGGCGGAAGCGGAAGAGGAGGAGGTGGGGGAGGAGGTGCGGGGGGGGGAGGGCACGTGCCGAGCTCGGCCACGTCTGGGGACCCCAGAGGCTCCAGAGGGGCCCGAGCCCTCTCGCTCCCCCCGCCCGAGCGAGCGCCGCCGATTTCGACGGGTCTCTCTTCCCGCACGCCCCCTCGTGCTTTCGCTTGCAGTGGCCTGCGAGGAGGAGGAGGCGGCGGCGGCGGAGGAGGAGGAGGAGGAGGAGGAGGAGGAGGAGGAGGAGGAGGAGGAGGAGGAGGAGGAGGAGGGGGGGAGAGGAGGAAAGTGGGGATAAGGAGGGGAGGGAGAGGAGGAGGAGGAGGAGGAGGAGGAGAGGAGGAGAGGAGGAGGAGGAGGGGAGGAGGAGGAGGAGGAGGAGGGAGGAGAGGAGGAGGAGGAGGAGGAGGAGGAGGAGGAGGAGGAGGAGAGGAGGAGGAGGGGAGGAGGAGGAGGAGGAGGAGGAGGAGGAGGAGGAGGAGGAGGAGGAGGAGGAGGAGGAGGAGGAGAGGAGAGGGAGGAGGAGGAGGAG